CTGGGATAAAATGTCTTTAATGGAGGGAAGAGGAGCCCCCATGATCCTCTCTGCTGTTCTCACCACTCTTACATATATGGTTGTATATATGGTAAACCAACAGTGAAGCAAATCAGGGTGGTGACTGAGGGCGCCATGGAGAAAATCCAGGAAAGTTTTGAATGCTCTGATTGGAACATGTTCAAAGCTGGAGCTACCTATGACAACAAGATAAATATAGATTATGCCATGACTGTGTCAGTCTACTTCAACAAATGCATTAAGGACATTTGTGTCACAAAGAACATCACCACCCGGGCAAACCAACGACCCTGGATGAAAGGTGAGGTTCGGAAATCGTGAAAAGCACAGAACTCAGCTTTCAGGTCTGGTGATAAAGAGGCACTGAGGATGGCATGTGACAGGATGCAACATTTTGTGTGTCAGCATGTTTTAGGTCATCATTCCAGTCCCAAAGAAACCTCAAGTCACCTCACTCAATGACTACCGGCCTGTGGCACTGACTCCCATCATGATGAAGTGCTTTAAAGGCTGGTTAAAGAACACATCGTCTCCAGTCAGCCGCCAACATTCGAAATATTTCAGTTCGCATACTGACGCAACCGCTCCACTGAGGACGCCATCTCCTCCGCTCTTCACCTGAGCCTAGCACACCTGGAGGAGAAGAACACCCACATGCGGATGCTGTTCCTGGACTTCAGTTCAGCTTTCAACACCATCATCCCACAGCATCTGATGGGCAAACTGGAACAGCTGGGATTCAAAACACCCCTCTGCTATTGGCTGCTAGACTTCCTCACCAACAGAACTCAGTCAGTCCAGGTCGGACAGAACACCTCTGATGTCATCATCCTAAGCACAGGCTCCCCTCAGGGCTGCGTCCTGAGCCCCCTGCTGTTCACCCTGATGACACACGACTGCGTCTCCAGGTTCACCACCAATCACATCGTGAAGTTAGCAGACAGCACCCTCCATAAATGCTTTGTAGTCCCATCTTCTAGAATGCATGGAGTAGGCTCAGAGGTCCAAGGTAATCTTCAAAAGTAGCACTATTGTCTTTAAGTGCTAAACTTGATCTTTAAGCGACTCTGTGAGGTCAATCTTATATTTCTTTGAAAGCTTTGAGCAGGATGCAATGATACTTTCTGGTGACGTATCTCTGAATTTCCACTCGAAGTTCATCACAAATCCTTTCCATTGATGCAAAGTGCAAATTAAGTTAAGAGATCATGCTATAAATTGCAATATAAAAACTGTCTCTACATAAAGTGTCTGTGTTTTGCTGCTCTGTCTCCTGCTTTTCTGATTGATCAAAGGAAATCTTTTTCTTTCTCTGTCTCGTTTCTAACTGGGGTTTGATGCCCAGTACAGAAAGTTGTAAGAAAGCTGTCCCATGATGCACGCATGCAGGCAAGCTCTTCCCCCAAATCCATAACATTGGCAGCTTGCACATCCAGTGAGATGGTTGACTGATTAAGTTTCTATCCTCTATCCACTGCAAAACTTTGACCCAAAATGTAAATGACCAAAACTGCATTAAAGGACTGAAAGTAAGTCTTTAGGCCTCAGCTTTGGTCTCACTGGTGAGGTTACCTGTTGTGATGAGGACGTCTAAGGCCTCACTAGGCAAATGCTTTGCTACAGGGCGCACTTCTTCTATTGGGGAACTCCATTGGGTTTCAGACAAGCTGTGTAGAGAACCATCTAAAACTTTCTGTAAGATTTCCCATCAATGTTGGCTGCCACTGAATAGTTTTAACAGCTGATTGGTGAAGCCAAAGAATATATCTATTTCTGTGCAGGTCCGTGCTGCATGGGCACCTACTAGGTTTACTGTGTGAGATGCACATGGAGAGTATGTGGCCAGGGGATTTTTTATTTAGTAGGTGAGCCTGCACTCCTCTCCCTTTTCCTGCCATATTGTCTCTGTTATCATAACACCGCCCCCTGCAATCAGCTATATCTATGCCATGTTCAAATAATGATTGGTGAACCACTGCAGCAATTTCTACTCCTGACTTTTGCTTTAAATCCAAGAAAACGTTGATTTATTTCCCAACCATCCTCAGGGGATGTCTGGCTGACGTACCTCAGCAGCAGTACATTTTGCTCCAAGTTTCACACTTCTGGGGTTGCTTCATATATTATGGAATTAATTATTGTTTCTTGCCTTTCCTTCAGAATAGTGTTGAGGACACGCTGAGTAAAGAGTTCAATAAATTAACTTTGGCTGTCAGGTGAAAGGTAAAGAGCTTGGACTCTCTTTCCCTGTTGACGGTGCTCTCTAATGTTTTGTAAATGGTCATTTAGGAGGCTGTCGTACTTTGCCAACAGCTAAATTAAACCAAGAAAATTTCCATTGTCTGGTTCATGAAGTGTATTTGTGCTGCCCCTGAAAGGCAGATTCCTAAAGACCAAAAACAGCATCACATCCAAAAATAGCTTCAGAGGTAATTTTTTTTTTTTTTTTCAATTTCTGTCTCCATCAGATTTTGTTCTTTGCTGTCGGTTCAAGAACTCTGCAAGACAGAATCCTGTAGGTTCACCCATTTCCATTAACAATCCTTGTGTGCACGGTTTCATTCACGCCTTGGGAATCTTTCATAAAGCTTTCTATATTTTATGTTGGATATTTTCATCTAATCTATTGAATTTGGTGCACTAGTTGATCTTTTCTCTACTTCATAAGATAACAGCAAGCATGGTGAGCAAAATATAGCCTTTTTTTACCTGCTGTATATCAGCCAGTCCCTAACTTTCTTGCCTTCCATTGTGGGAGGAAGAATAGTTTAGATTCTTTGGGAATGCTTTGCCCTCTGAATCGGAGGGCAGTTCATTTGCCATTCTATCAGAATCATTCATTTCTGTTGGCAATAACGTGGGATCATGTGGGTCTCATATGGCTAAATAAAGGCTTCATGCACATCCAGTATTTTCCATTTCTTTCTATATATTATGATCACACATTTAAAGGGGGAAATATGAAATTCTATTGTGGGGGACTGTGGGGTCATTTACCAAATGAACTTGATCTAGTTGATTTTTGGAAAAAGTTAACTCATCTTTGCTAACTTTGGACCCGCTGCAGTTTGTCTACAGGCCAGCATAGAGCGTGCCTGCTCTACCTGCTGCACCAGGTGGATGATGAAGTGCAGTGAGAGTCATATTCTTCGACTTCTCCTGTGTGTTCAACACCATCAGACCGTTGCTGCTGAGGGGGAATCTGGAGGACGCCAGAGTGGACAAACATCTTGCAGCCAGGACCATCAACTGCCTCACTGATCACCCTCAGTACGTGCGGCTGTCAGTCAGAGGTGGCAGTCTGCAGCACCGAGGCCCCCATTCCTCTGCACTCTCTACACCTCAGACTTGAATCGGCCATTGTAGGCTGTGATTCTGAGGGGAACGAGCTGGAGGACCATTCCGTCATCCTGGACTTTATCGCCTGGTTTGAAAACAACCACTGATGTACAGTGAGGGAGATAAGTATTTGAACAGCCTGCTATTTTGCACCTTCTCCCAATTAGAAATCATGTAAATAAAATTGTCATCTTAGTAGCATGCAGGGTCGGATTTAGGATATTTGGGGCCCTAGGTAAAGACAGGCAGGGGGCCCTCTGAATTGAGAAGGCATCACATAAACAGACCCATTATACAGATAGAGAAATGTTAATAGAATAGACATCCATTATTTGTTCTAGGTTTTGTCCCTCTTCTTGTTGTTTTCCTCTCTATGTTTTGTACTCAGCTGACTTTTCATGCTGTCTCTAAAGGAATGAAAGATTTTTTCCAAGCACTAAGCTCACTTAGCTGATTGCTCCTTCCTGTGTTTCCACAAAGGCGACGGC